ATGAACGCTGGAAATTTGAAACAAACACAGAATGCTAGAGAAACTCAGCAGGTCTGGTAGCATCTGTAGAGAGAGAAACAGAGTTAATGTGCCGAGTCCAGTATGACTCTTCTTCAGAAGAGATTTATCAGGATGCTTCTGGGAAGGGAGCGTTTGAGTTACATAGAGACGCTGGGACTTATTTCACTGGACCGTAGGAGATTGAGAAGTGATATTCCACAGGTTTATAAAATCCTGATAGGTATAGTTAAGGTGAATAGCAGGTGTCTTTTCCCTAGGTTGGGGGATTTTTAAGGTGGGGGGAGAAAGATTTAAAAAAGACATGAGGGGCAATTTTCTTTTTACACAGAGACTGGTATATGTGTGGAATGAACTCCCAGAGGAAGTGGGGGATCGGGTACAGTTACAATGTTTAAAAGGCATTTGGATAAGTTCATGAATCAGAAATGTTTGGAGGGATAAGGGTCAAGTGCAGGCAGGTGGGACTAGTTTAGTTTGGGATTATGATCTGCATGGACTGTTTGGACCGAAGGGTCTGTTTCCATGCTGTATGACTCTATAACTTTTCAAAACTAATGAAGAATCATATAGGATTCAAAACATAGACATAGAATCCCCACAGTGTGAAAACAGGCCCTTCGCCCCAACAAGTCAACACTGACTCTCAGATATCCCTCACAGACCCGTCTCCCTATAACCCATTTTGTCTACACATCCTGGGACATTATCGGCAATCTAGCATGGCCAATCCACCTAGCCTGCACATCTTTGGACTGTGAGAGGAAACTGGAGCACACGGAGGAAACCCATGCAGACGAGAAGATGCAAACTCCACACAGCCAGTTGCCTGAGCGTGGAGTTGAACCTGGGTCCTTGGCAATGTGAGGCAGCAGCACTAACCACTAACCACTAGCCACTGAGCCACTGAGCCACTGAGCCACCCTAACAATTGGCAATGGATTCACGGTCATCATTCAAATCCCAATTCCAGATTTTTATTGAATTCAAATTCCACCACCTGCCATGGCGGGATTCAAACCCAGGTCTCCAGAGCCTTGCCTGGTTTTTAACGGTCCAGTGATAATACCATTAGGTCATCACTCCCCTGTAAAACTTTAACTTTTTTTTTCCAGTTTAGTTCATAAGACCATTAGACCATAAGACATAGGAGCAGAAATTAGGCCATTCGGCCCACCGAGTCTACTCCGCCATTCAATCATGGCCGATAAGTTCCTCAACCCCATTCACCTGCTTTCTCCCCATAACCCTTGATCCCCTTGATAATCAAGAACCTATCTATCTCAGTCTTAAATGTACTCAATGACCTGGCTTCCACAGCCTTCTGTGGCAGTGAATTCCAGAGATTCACCACTCTCTGGCTGAAGAAGTTTCTCCTTATTTCCGTTCTAAAAAGCCTTCCCTTTACTCTAAGGCTGTGCCCTTGGGTCCGAGACTCTCCTTCCAATGGAAGCATCTTCCCAACATCCACTCTGTCCAGGCCATTCAGTATTCTGAAAATTTCAACTAAATCCCCCCTCATCCTTCTAAACTCCAATGAGTATAGTCCCAGAGTCCTCAAACGTTCCTCATATGTTAAGCTTTCCATTCCTGGGATCATTCTCGTGAACATCCTCTGAACCTCGTCCAGGGCTAGTACATCCTTCCTGAGATATGGGGCCCAAAACTGCACGCAATACTCCAAATGTGGCCTGACCAGAGTCTTATAAAGCCTCAGTAGTACATCCCTTTTTTTATATTCAAGTCTTCTCAAAATAAATGCCAACATTGCATTTGCCTTCCTGACTACTGACTCAACCTGCAAGTTTACCTGGAGAAAATCCTGGACTAGAATTCCCAAGTCACTTTGCACATCTGACTCCTGAATTTTCTCCCCATTTAGAAAATAGTCCATGCTTTTATTCTTCTTACCAAAGTGCATGACCTCACACTTTCCCATGTTGTACTCCATCTGCCACTTCTGTGCCCACTCTCCTAACCTGTCCAAGTCCTTCTGCAGCCTCCCCACCTCCTCAATACTACCTATCCCTCCACCTATCTTTGTATCATCTGCAAACTTAACCAGAATGCCCACAGTTCCTTCATCGAGATCATTAATGTACAAAGTGGAAAGTTGTGGTCCCAGCACTGACCCTTGTGGAACACCACTTGTCACCAGCTGCCATCCTGAGAAAGACCCCTTTATCCGCACTCTCTGCTTTCTGCCAGACAGCCAATCTTCTATCCATGCTAGCACATTGCCTCTAACACCATGGGCCTTTATCTTAATCAGCAGCCTCCTGTGTGGCACCTTATCAAAGGCCTTTTTGAAGTCCAGTTAGATAACATCCATTGGTTCTCCTTGGTCTACCCTGCTCATTACTTCCTCAAAGAATTCCAGCAAATTTGTCAGGCATGACCTCCCCTTGATGAAAACCATGCTGACTTTGCCCTACTTTACCATACACTTCCAAATATTCAGCAATCTCATCCTTTACAAGGGCCTCCAAAATCTTACCCATGACCGTGGCTAGGCTAATCTGCCTGTAATTCTCCATCTTTTGCCTTACTCCCTTTCTAAACAGGGTGTCACGTTAGCGATTTTCCAGTCCTCTGGGACCCTCCCTGACTCTAGCGATTCCTGAAAGATCACCACTAACGCTTCCACTATCTCTTCAGTTATCGCCTTTAGAACTCTGGGGTGTAGTCCATCTGGTCCAGGTGATTTGTCCACATTCAGGCCAATCAGTTTTACTAGCACCTTTTCCTTGGTGATGGCCACCATACCCAGCTCTGCCCCCTGACGCTCTTGAATTTTTGGGATATTAGTCAGCTGTTTTATTGATATAATTCCACTGACTGAAATAGGCCATATGAAGCTCATATCCTAATGTATAATAAAATTCAACTCGTGCTTAAGAATGTATCAGTAGACAGGAATAACAGGATTCTGGGAGATAACATGTAGACTTTACTGTAACTGATGAATGTTTAATGCCACCAGGTTTTAGACATGTAGGTCTGAAATATTTCTTAGCCAAAGAGGCAGCTTGAGAAGTAGGAGTGAGTACGTCTAGAAAGACACATGGTGAATCAGTTCTCTGATGCATTCCGATCTGTGAGTATTTTTCCCTAAAGCTGGACTAGCAGGTTCAACAGAAACCCAACCACCAGAAACACAATTAATGATGGTAGCAAGTTATCTCTCCAGAACACGAGTGTTTCCTCCTTCACAATACAGGGGACCACCACTGTGTCAGAAGCCTAACGATGGATTAAAGGCAGCTATGACTCTGGATGTCTGAGATGTGACATATTTGAGGGGTGACATTTACAAAAGGGTAGCAGCCCTGCCTTGCAGCTATGTCACAGAATCTGATGTCTCTGACCTCAGCCCCCTCCCTCCCACAGAAGACAGCTCAATACTGTTTCTCCTGTTAGCCCTGACATCACCTACACAAGGAGGCTCACTTAAGGGTCTCAACTGGTATTGGGGCAGCAAGCCAATCGATGACTTGTCCACCTCAGATTGAGCCAAAGCAGAGGAGGGAAGGCAGCTTGATCACCATCCCATGCACTTTAACCCGATTAAAAACACCTATGCCACCGCCCCCCCAAACCCATCCTGGGGGATGACATTAAATTTTGCACAATGTCTTAATTTACTACAAGTAATTGGACAGTTAGAAAGTGGAATCTTGAAAAGGAGAAATAACAAACTTCAGGAGCAGGACACATGCTTCGTCCTCGGCCCAATAATTGTTGAGTTTCAGAATCAATGGTATCAGCATGAATGTCCAGCATTTCAACTGGTCAAGATTGTGAAGGAAGTAGAGACAAAACTTGCAAGGAAATAACTATGGGCAGTTTACTAAATTTTTATGTCCTTAAGAAAAAAAAGGAACAATTCTGAGATTTGAAACAAATACTTTCATCACTCACCTCGTAGCAACGCATGTTCATTTTCAACTAGTGTTTGTCCATTTGTTGTAAAACGGTTCTGAACCCGTGCCTGCCCATTGCCATTAAATAACGCATTCGAGGTTAGCTGTCCATTTCCATTCGATAGGTGTTTCACAGTCCGTGATGTTCCTGGTACTTGCTGAGTATTAATTTGCTGTCCATATCTACTTGATGTACTTCTGGAAGGAGAAAAAGAAAAGAAAAATCAAATTCAAGCTTTTTTTAGCTTAAGAAGTTTAACCATACAGTGCATTGTGAATAAAATGCATTTGAGGCAGATAACAACTTCACTCTAGAAAAAAGCAACAAAGTGAAATGCTTTCAGTTACACAAAGAACAAAGGACAGTACAGTGTGGGGGCAAATTACTGCAGATGCTGGAATCTGTACTGAAAACAACAAAAGCTGGAGGTCACAGCGGGTCAGACGGTATCCATAGAGAGACAGCAAACTAACATTTTGAGTCTAGATGACTCTCAGAGACCATCTCTGATGAAGAGTCATCTAGACTCAAAACATTAGCTTGCTCTCTCTCCATGGATGCTGCCTGACCCACTGTGACCTCCAGCATTTGTTGTTTTCAGTAAAGAACAGTACAGCACTGAAACATGCCCTTCGGCCTATCAAGCCTGTGCCAACGCATGATGCCTTTCTAAACTAAAACGTTATTACCTTAATGCTATTTGTATCGTTCTATTTCCTGCCTAATCATATATCTGTCAACATTTCTCTTAAACATTTCTATGCATCTGATTTTACCAACTCCTCCAGCAGCACATTCCAGGCACATACCACCCTCTGTGTAAAAATGTTGCTTCTCACATCTCCTTCAAATTTTCACCCTTTTAGCTTAAATCTATGTCCCCTGGTAATTGACATTCTACTCTGGGATAAAGACCCTGACTATCCATTCTATCCATGGCTCACATAATTTTGTGAAGTTTCTGTGAGGTCAGCTTTTGACATTCAAGTGAAAACAAACCGAGTTTGTCTAATTTCCCCTCACAGCTAACGCCCTTCAAACCAGACAACGTCCCTGTTTTACCTTTCTAAAGCTTCCACATCTTTCTGGTAGTGTGGCGACCTGAACTGGACACATCTAAGCAAGAATATCAGAAACAGTTCACAAAGGCCTTTAACAAACCATTGAGGAAATGCTCATCATCTTTTGATTTGGCTCAGCAGGTTTGGCAGCACCTTCTGGGCAGTTCTGAGGAAGGGTCACTGGACCCGAAACGTTAACCCTGATTTTTTTCTTCACAGATGCTGCCAGACCTGCTGAGCTTTTCCAGCAACTTTGTTCCTGATTTACAGCAACGCAGTTCTTTTGGTTTTTATCTTTTGATTTGGATTTGATTTTGTTTATTGTAGTCACGTGTACCTAAGCACAGTGAAAAGCTTTGTTTTGTGAGCAGTGCAGGCAGACCATAGCAAACAAGGACATATAGATCATAGGTACTTAGACAAATGCCAAATGGAAAATGGCAGGACTCTAGGAACTATACAGTATCGTAAGGACCTTAGTGTGCATGCTCAAAGATCTTTAATGGCAGAAGGTAGGTAGATAAGTTGATTAAGAAGGCAATAGGATACTTGCTGTTATTAATTGAGGCATTGTATACAAAAGTAAGGTGGTCATGATTGATCTGTATAAGATGTGAGCAAAGCCATAGCTGGAATCCTGAGGAACTACATAAAAAGGAGGAATACTTGAAAGCATTTTATGGCTGCTAAGCAGATATCCGACCATCTCCATCCCTGACTGAATCACAAGAATCAGGAAGGCACTGGGGCCTCCTTCCCTCCATATTCTATGCCTCCCCTCAAGTAGCCACTACTTGGCCTCCTCCTTCATACAGAATCAAATTCTGCCTACAGAGTCAGGCAATCATTTAACGATTCAGATAGTCTCATTCATTCATGGGATGTGGGCATTGCTGGCTAGAACAGCATTTATTGCTCATCCTCAATTACCCAGAGGCCATTTAAGAGTCAACTACATTCCTGTGGGTCTGGAGTCACATGTAGGCCAAACCAGGTGAGAACATCAGTGACATTAAGTAGAGATAGTAGGAACTGCAGATGCTGGAGAATCCGAGACAACAAGGTGCAGGGCTGGATGAACACAGCAGGCCAAGCAGCATCATAGGAGCAGAGTTTCCTGAGAATTGATGGTCATCATTAAATTCTTAATTCCAAATTTTGAATTGAATTCAAATTCCACCAGCTGCCATGGCAACATTCGAACCTAGGTCCCCAAAATATTACCTAGGTCTCTGGATTAATAGTCATAGAGTTATACAGAATAGAAACAGGCCTTTCAGTCCACCATGTCTATGCTGACCAGAAAAGTCTAGCAATAACACCACTAGGCCATTGCCACCCACATTGCTACATACTAATGCTGTAGGCACTATCTTTAAACTTACTAATTTCTCGTAGTCACACCATATTTTCAGGTATTAAACCTGCTTGAGAAAAGATATCTGCATTGTCTGCATAAGTGAACTTGACAACAGATGGCACATTCATTCATGACACTATGCAGCAAAACTCAATGGTGTTCCATAGAGTATTTTTTAATTTTCTAAAACTCCTTCAACATTGGCAATTCCATTAGTATGGAAGATAGCAAATTTAACTTGTTTATTCATTTAGGGAGAGAAAGAGACAGAAAGCTGGAAACTGCAGGCAAGCAAGCTTCACATCCTTCATGAAGAAGAAGTTAGAAGCTGATAGTAAAGAAGTTATAGCAGGACACTTGGAGAAGTTCAAGGCAACTAGGCAGTGATAACATATCTTGTAAAAAGGGAAATCATTTTCGACCAAAAACAAAAAATTGGACACAACTCAAAGGGTCACAGTAATTGACTGACAAAGTAAAAGAAAAATTACACATTTTTGTTCAAAGCTCCCATATTTATTAATCAAGAATTTGATCCAAATATGAAATGTATCTCTAAAGCAACCACAACTGTTTGAATAAGACAGCTATTTTTCCATTTGTCTCTTCAATAAATCTCGTTAACAAGAGGCACTATTTGTATACAGAATCTTATAACAGCACACTCAAGCCTGGATTTATGCAATTTGTCTGTCCATCCTGCTTAATTACATGAATAAGGATTTCACTGTACATTAACTCTTGTCAGAAATTTCAAGAGCTTTCTTGTCACAACAATTTTTTTTGCTCAAAAATGGGTCTGGTTTAGTCTTTGCAAACCAAACATTTTGCCAGATGTTCATCTTTAAACATTTATTTCAGGAAACAGTAAAATGTTATTTTCTGGAATAAGAACATACCAGAAGTTTAATGCATGCATTTCGAAGGTTTAAACTTTAACAATGCAGATTCCAATGGTAATCAGGTAACTGCAAGTAAAGGCATTTTTAGCAGAACAAATTCATATCTGTGAGAGCTGTGTCCTTGATTAGGAAAATAGCTCAAGTAGATCTTTAATACACTTCTGAGGAGTGAGAATCATCAAGGGATTGTCACCTGATCACACATTCCCGGTCTCTTCAATGCTACTCCCCATTTCTTGCCAGGCCTGCAGAAACAGGGAAAGGTTTGAGGGTGAAGGGTGACAGGAAACACAGAGTGATGTGTAATGGCGTTTGGCAGGAAGGAGCAATACCAGAAGCAGCAGGCAGTGGAGTTTGCAACATAGAGACTGAAGTTCCTTGGCACATAATCCAAGCCACTGGATGCAGGGAGGAGTACTGATTCACTGGTGGGAGTTGGGAGGTTGGGGGGGCATGGTGCGGGGGTGTGGGTGGGAACTTGGGTGTTAATCAGCAGGACATTCCCCAGTCCATTTCAAGCTGATGCTACTTGAATCCATTAGGTCCAGAATCAATGGTAGAGGAACAAGAAGAGGCACTTGTTTTAAAATGTATTTACTGAGTATCAATGAATTACTGGTGAGATTATTCAACATAGTTAGTAAGACTATTCAATATTTAATCTTCTTTGAAATCCAGAGCTATCCTCCAAATTTCACCCACACCTGTATAACATCATTAGATTGGATGGAGTTTAATACTGCCAGAACCATTATGTAAAACAATAACTTTTATTATCTAAGACAACCAAGAAAAGACTATTTGATCATGTATCTCATTTACTTTCTCGATAAACTGTTAGGAGGCTCTTCCTCTGATCTTCTTCACTGGCCTCTAATCTTCCATTATCTTTTTTCTAAAATCCTGTATCAATCACCTGTTTGATTCTTTCTGACTAATTGCCCAAAACATATGCAGCCAAAGTATCACTTACCTCCTTCTATCACTTTAGCTCAAAATGATCTTTTAGCTCACCCCCCTTCCTGGGTGCCATTTGTTAATGAGACAAATATCTGACAGGAGTTAAAGGGTACAAAACACTATCTTTTTGGCTCAGGAATATCAACTCAGATACCTCTTCCAGAAAACCTCAATGTCAGACCCCTGATAACACCATTCTCTTCAGCTATAAAGGTAAAGGTTCCATAGTTCCAGAGGGCAGCTTTCTCATTAGTGAGCAAGATAGACAACTGATGGTGATTTAACCTGAGGGTCACCATGCCTCAGGGGGAAGGAAAGGTTAAGCAGAAGGATCATTCATGGTAACCTCAGGCAGTGCAGGAATTGAACCCAACTTTATTGGCATCACTCTGTATTGTAAAGCAGCCATCCAGCCAACTGAACTAATCGATTCTTGGCTGTAATATTTAGCCCCTGATGTGTAGGGAAGGTTTATATGCTTTACCAGAGAGAAGGAAGGGAAACAGACTTCCACCAGATACATCTTACTGCGCCTGTTAAAATCTAAGTATTCTATTTCATGAAAAATACCAGTACGTGGAGGGTGGTAATTGACCAGATTGCTGCTTTTTTATGAACAGCATCCCTAAGAAGTTTTCCATATTGTCGGGTTGATGCTAAATTTCTTGTCATACTGGAACATCTAGAAAAGGGGCATGGTAAGTTCCAGACCCCAGTCTTAATGCACTATAGCCAGGATGTTGTGAGGGGCAATAACCTTTGTTGTCTCCAGTGTATACCACAGTTATTTTGTGGTATCTCTTGGAGTGAAACAAATTGGCTGAAAGCTGGCATTTCAGAATGGTAAGGAATTCTTGTGTAGATCCGCTTAGCACTTCCAACCAGAGATGACTGCAAAATTGTCTTTTTCATTGACATATCGGGTCCCTCCATCATCAGGGATGTAGTTGTTGATGAAGCTCACCCTCCTGTTCGTTGTTTACCCTCCAGCACCATTTATGGATGTGGCAGGACTGCAGAGGTGAATGGATTTGATCCATTGACTGTGATATCACTTAGCTTTGTCTATCGAGGGATATTTGTGCTGTTCAGAATGCACGTAGTCCTGTCTTCTGGTGCCACCATGCTGGTACCTCAATTGCAGAGAAAATAGTTTCTGGCATGCTCTCCAACACTTTTCCTTGAACTAGTAGCTTGTTGGAATTGACAGATGGAGAGATATTCTAGGCTTTGAGGTGACAGATAGTACTTCCTTTGCTGCCTGTCAAAATTGGGAGAGTTAGTTGTCCCACGAAAACAGTCAAGCAACAACATGATGGATATTAAAGTCCCCATTCAGAATACATTGGTGTTCTTACAGCCCTCAATGCTTCTTTCAGGTAATATTCAGGAGCTGCAGGTGGTGGTGGAAATCAGCAGAGAACGTTCTTTCCCATGTTTTACTGAAGCCATGAAACTTCAAAGAGTCTGTCTCGAGGAAGGGAAGTTTCCTCCAAATTTTGTAACCACTGTGCTCCATCTCTAGTGAGTCTGCTGACCCAGTGGATAGGACATGTCCATGGGTTGATGACGGGGGAGTCCAGGGTATTGCTTGTAAAGGGCATGACTTTGATTGTGTCAGATTATTAATGAACTAGTTTGTGGGACAGCTCTCCCAATTGCAGAAGACATTGCAGAATTGACTAATGTGTCCTTCTCATGTCTGTTGCCTGAGCCAATGCTAGGTGACTCATCCAGTTTTATCCTTATTCAGTTTTGCTGTAGCAGTTTGATACGAGTAACTTTTGTTACAAATGCATAAATTTATTGAGTGTTCAGAAACCGGAATATGGATCTGCTTGAACATACCAAGTGAAAAGAGATTTACGATGTGATTAATTGGAAACAAAAAGTTAAAAACGGTCAAAAAGAAGGTGGTTACCCGTTATTCACAGGCATATGGACTCATAGAGTCATAGAGTCCTACAGCGTCGAGACAGACCCTTTGGTACAGACTGGTCTATGCCAACGAAAATGTCAATCCACGCTAAACCCATTTCCCTGCACTTGTCCCATATCCTTCTAACATTTCCTATCTGTGTATTCTTCCAAATGCCTCTTAAATGTTGTTGATGTACCCACCTCAACCACTTCCACTGGCAGATTTTTCCATTTGCGTACCACCCTCTGTGTAAAACTGTTGTCCCTCTGGTTCCCATGTAATCTTTCCCCTCTTACCTTAAACTGATGTCTTTGATTCCCGAACACTGAGAAAAAGACAGAATACATTCACCTTACTCATGCATCTGAGTGGGTCTCCTATGCTCTAAAGAAAAATATCCTAGCATGTCCAACCTCTCCATATAACTCAGTCCATTGAGTCCTGGCAACATCCTTGAAAATTTCTTCTGAACTCTTTCCAGTTTAATAACATTGTTCCTATAGCATGGTGACCAGAACTGAACACACTGCTCCAAGTGCAGCCTTACCAATATCCCGTACAACTGCAACATAATTTCCCAACTTCTTCTCTCCCTGACTGATGAAGGCCAGTGTGCCAAAAGGCTTCTTCACTGCCCTGTCTACCTGTGACTCCACTTTTCAGGAACAATGTACCTGAACTCCAAGGTCCCTCTGTTCCACTACACTCCTTAAGGCCCTACCATTCACCATGAAACTCCTAACTTGATTTGACTTTCCAAAATGCAACACCTAACAGTTATCTATATTAAACTCCATTTGCCATTTCTCAGCCCACTTCCCAGCTGTTCAAGATCCTGCTGCAATTTCTGATAACCTTCCTCATTGTCCACGATACCACCTATTTTAGTGTCATCCACAAACTTACCAATCATGCCTTGTACATTCTCATCCAAAATCATTGATATAGATAACAAACAGCAATGGGCCCAGCACTGACCCCTGAGGCACACCGCTATTCATAGGCATCCAGTCCGACAAGCATGCTTCTATTATTACCCTCTGCTTCCTACCATCAAGCTAATTGTGTATCTAATTTGCTAGGTCTCCCTGGATTCCATGCAAGAGCAGCCAACCATGCAGAACCTTATCAAAGGCCTTACTGAAATCCATATAGACTGCGTCTACCGCCCTGCCCTCATCAACCTTCCTGGTCAGCTCAAAGAACTCTAGCTGATTTGTGAGGCATGATCTCTCACACACAAAGCCATGCTGACTATTCCTAATCAAACCCTGCCTTTCGAAATGCATGTGTATCTTATCCCTTAGAATCTTCTCAAGTAACTTACCTGCCACTGATGTTAGGCTTACTAGTCTATAGCTCCCAGGTTTTTCTTTGCAGCCCTTCTTGAATAAGGGCACAACATTCACTACCCTCCGGTCTTCCAGGTCCTGACCCATGGCTAACGATGATGCAAATATATCAGCCAGGGCCCCCGCACTTTCTTCTCTAGCCTCTTGCAGGGTTCTTGGATATATCTGGTCAGCACCAGGAGATTTATCCATCTTGATACTTTCTAATACACCCAACACCTCCTCTACTGTGATATGGACTGTCTCCAAGATACTTCCACTAACTTCCCCAAGTTCCCAAGTCTTCATTTCTTTCTCCACAGTAAATGCAGAGGAGAAATAGTCATTGAGGACCTCACCCATCTCCTGCAGTTCCACACATACATCTCCACTTTGGTCCTTGAGGGGTCCTATTCTTTCTCTAGTTATTCTTTGTTCTGTAATATACTTAAAGAATAATTTTGGATTCACCCTAATCTTCTCAGCCAAAGCTATCTTGTGCCTCCTTTTTATCCTCCTGATTTCTTTCTTCAGTAAACTCCTGTACTGCTTATATACTTCCAGGGATTCCCTTGATCCCAGCTGCCTGTACCTGAGCCATACCTCCTTTTTTTTTGCGGTCAAAGCCTCAATATCTCTTGACATCCAGGGTTCCTTACTCCTGCCAACCTTGCCCTTCACCCTCACAGGAACATATAGACCTTGAACTCTAGCTATCACACTTTTAAAGGGGTCCTACTTGCCGCAAGTCCCTTTGCCTGCAAACAAACTACTCTGATCAACCCATGCAAGCTCCTGTCTAATTCCATCAAAATTTGCCTTGCCCCAATTTAGGACTCGAACCTGTGGACTAGTTTTGTCCCTTTCCATAACTATTTTAAAATTAATAGAACTATGGTCACTGGTCCCAAACTGCTTACCCACTGTCACCTCAGTTACCTGTCCTGCACTATTTCCCAAGAGAAGGTTGGGTTTTGCTCCTTCCCGAGTAGAACCCTCTAAATTTTGCTTGAAGAAACTTTCCTGAACACACATAACAAATTCCTCCCCATCTAACACTATGACAGTCCAGTCTATGTTACAAAAATTAAAATCCCCCACTTACTCCTGCAAGTTCCCCAAATCTCCCTGCATATTTGTTCCTCTAATGCCCGTTGACTATTTAGGGGCCTGTAGGACAACCCCAACAATGTCACCATCCCCTTCTTATTTCTTCGCTCCACCACAAAGCCTCATTTGGGTGAATCCTCAGTTATTTCATCTCTGACTACTGCTATGTTACTCCCCTTAAACTAAAATGCAACTCCCCCTCCCCAATTTCCTCCACCTCTGTCCCACCTAAAGCACCTGTACCCTGGCACATTAAGCTTCCAGTCCTGTCCTTCCCTTAGCCATGTTTCTGTAATGGCTATAATATCCCAGTGCCACACACCTATCCACACCGTGAGCTCATCGGCCTTACCTGTCAGCCCTCTTGTATTGAAATAGATGTATTCCACTCCTTGTCATGTTCCAGCCTGACCTGTCTCTTCACCTTGCCATTTCTGTTTACTGTGTCTCCTTCCAGCCTCGCACTTGCCTCCCTGCTGTTGAGGATCCCACCCCTCTGCCAATCTAGTTTGAAACCTTCCTTGTAGCACTAGCAAATCTGCCTGCCAGGATTTGGGTCCCCCTCCAGATCAGGTGTAACCCATTCCTCTTGAACAGGTTAATTCTGCCCCAGAAAAGATCCCAATGATGCAGGAATCCGAATCCCTGCCCCCTGCACCAATTCTTTAGCCATGCATTCCATGCCATATCCTCCTGTTCTTACCCCCACTAGCACATGGCACTGGAAGTAATCTGGAGCTTACCACCATTGAGGTCCTAGTTTTTAAACTTTTGTCCTAGCTCTCTATAAACACTCCACAGGATCTCATTCTATTCCTACCTATGTGCATGTTGGCACAAATGGCAATGACTTCTGGCTGCTCACGCTCCCCATTCAGAAAGTTCTGCAGCCTGTCCAAGACGTCCTGACATCCGGGAGGCAGTACACCATTCTGGATTCCTGTTTGCGGCCACAGAATCTCCTGTCTGTCCTTTACCCTCTCCTGTTGTGCCCCAGAGCAAGTCGTAGTGCTACCGATCTGGCTACTTCTGCTTTCCCCTGAACGGCCATCCCCTCCAACAGTATCCAAAATGCTATACCGGATGGGAGCGGCCAGAGGTGATTCCTGCACTCTCTGCCCATTCCCTTTGCCTTTCCTGGTGGTCACCCAGCTACTCGCTGCCTGTACCTTAGGTGTGACCACATCACTAAAACTCTTAACTATGGTGCACTCAACATCTCGGCTAAGCTTTTAAAAGGAGAGATAAAAGATGGATATTGATAAGACTTGAAGGAACCTTAGATCTATGTTGTAGATTGCCAAGCCACAGTCTCTGACCTAAGTGTACATTTTCAGCATATACCCATGTGTGGAAATTGAGGAAAATTTGCAGTGCTCTCTGTCTGTCAGTAAGAGCTAAATAGATCTTGCCCTTGCGAAGTTGTTTGAAAAATCCAATAACATTTCAGTAGTTGGATCTGCATTTGAAATCTAATCTGAGGACTTTCCAGCGTTCTGCAATTGTCAGGAATTGGATGTCATCAAAAGCAATCAAAGAAATTGTGAAAGGTAACCCTGTTCTACCTTTTGAATTCTTACCCTTGACTTACAGGGGCATCGTTCTTTCTAGTGCATTTTTGTTTCAAAAAGATTTACGAGGATGTTGCCAGGGTTGAAGAGTTTGAGCTCTAGGGAGAGGCTGAATAGGCTGGGACTATTTTCCCTGAAGGGTCAGAGGCTGAGGGGTGACCTTGTAATAAAATCATGACAGGCATGGATAGGGTGAATAACGAAGGTCTTTTCCCCAGGGTAGGGAGTCCAAAAAACTAAAGGGCATAGATTTAAGGTGAGAGGGGAAAGTCTTAGAAGGGAATTAAGGGGCAATTTTTTCACAGATTGGGTAGTGAGTGTGTGCAATAAGATGCCAGAGGTGGTGGTGGAGGCTGGTACAATTACAACAATTAAAAGGCATCTGGATGGGTATATGAATAGCAATGGTTTAGGGGGATATGGGCCAAATGTTGGCAAATGGGACTAGATTAACTTAGGATATCTGGTCAGCATGAACAAGTTGGGCCAAAGGGTCTGTTTCCATGCTGTCCATCTCTATGACTCTTGTGATAGCTCTGCAGGGCTGTCATGCTATATCTACATATGAATGAATGTGAGAAATTAGGGAGATGTAGTTTAACACCATTGTATCTTAGTTGATAACTGATTTTGCCGCTTATTTTAAATGGGTTTGTTTCTTAACAAACAAATTAATTTAAGTTTCTTGAAAAAGAAGTCTCTTTTGTTCCATATAATAGTAATGAACAAATTGACCATTCTTGGTGATTAAAAATAATAATGGGGCTTAATTACTTGCACACTCCTCCCATTACGCTAAGGTTTTTCATAGGGCAGTTAAGGGTCAACTACATTGCTAAAAGACTGGACTCACATAGGGAAAGACTGAACAATTCCCTTCCCTATAATACAATTATGAACTAAATGGATTTTTACAACAATTTGGTCCTCATTACTGAGGGAAGCAGTTTTATTCCAGCTTTATTTAAATAAATTCCTCCGTCTACTATGCTGAGATATCAAATCATAGCTCCAATGCATCTGTCCTGGTCTCTGATTTACCAGCCCTGTAATATAAATTACTATTATGCTACCACACAGGAAAAAAATAAACCAAATGGAAAGCAAAACTGATCACAGCAGCGTAAAAGTACTATAGACGCTGGAAGTTTGAAATAAAAACGTAAAATGCTGGAAATACTTTGCAGCTCACACAGCAGTGTCTGACATCAGAGAGAAACAGATTTAGGCATTTGCAGGTACCATGGGCTGAATGATCTCTTTTTACAGGCATAGGCAAGGGCTGGCACCTGGGCTGGCTGGCATGGTTAGTA